TGCACGTTTTTATATATATATATATATATATATATATTTTTTTTTACACTAAATAACAGCAATGTATGGAGGTTCCAATTTCTCCATATCCTGGCCTGTAGTTATATTGTCTTTCCTTTGGGTTATAGCCAGTCTGGTGTGAAGTGAAAAATATCACTGTAAAACATTTTGTTAGATGAAAATTTGCCCAAGAGGCATTGTTCAGTATGCCTATGGCACTTAATGACAGTTTAATGACCTTATTACTTGGTACTAAGGGGCTCTTGTGGAGTAGTGGTTAAAGCACTTGACTGCTAACTAAAAGGTTGGTGGTTCCAACCCACCAGCCTCTCTGTGGGAGAAAGATGAAGCAATCTGCTTCTGCAAAGATTTACAGCCTTGGTACCTCTTTGGGGGTACTTCTACTCTGTCCTGTAGGGTCGGTGTGAGTCAGAATTGAGTCAGTGACGGTGGGTTTGGTTTGATTCGTTCTTGGCACTGTCTTGGTACAGCAGTGGGTAGGTTTGTTTCTTGTGTCCCTAAAATCTTTCACTTGTGCATTTTCTCATAGCAAAATGTTTACGGAATTCATCCTCAATGTTCCCACGGGTTTGCTGACCATTCAGAAGCTGTACTGCTTGATTGAAATCATCCACAGCGACCTCTTCACACAGCACGGTGAGTGGTACCCCAGGTCCTGAAATTGTCAATTTGTTCACTGTCTGCAGAACTTGACTCCTCTGAATTCTCTCTTCCTCGCTGGAAGGAGTTGGAGGTTCAACCAATTAAAACATCTCCATTACAAGACAGGAAGATGGAGCCCTTACAAGAGACTGGTAACTGAATAGCACAGGTAATAGATCATTGACAAATGAAGGCACAACCTGTGGTTTGTAATTGAGATGTACAGGAAGCCCTGGGATAATCAGCACACATTGTCACCCTTAAAATGTGTGATTGTCTGTCCTGGGAAAGTGATCACCTGCCTCTAGTGAGGTGATTGCAAAGAATACACTTCAACTTTTCCTTACATTTAGAAGTAATGTGTGTGTCTTCCTCTGAACTCTGTGTTCTTTTTAAACCCTACTGAGAGGCATAAGAATTTCAGTCACTCCTCAGCTCATTTATCCTGAGGAACACCTTCCATTCCCCACTTTATCTCCACACTTTTTATTTAATCATTTTCTTTCTGTTTGGACAGATTTAATTAATATTTTATACTTGTCAAGCACTTTTATTGAAAGCTAAAACCTTTCCTAATTCCACGGTCTTCTTCATTTATTGGAGGCAAACATGAACACGGTTGAGTGACATCCAGACTGAGGGGCATAGATTCACTCGGTTCCATTTGTGTGTCCGCCCTCCATTGTCTTTGTCTCTCTTGCACTGACTTGTTTGTCATTCTCTGTGCTATTCCAAGAATGGAGCAGCCCACGACCAGGCTGTCCCTGTTGAGTTACTGGCTGGATTAAGAACTCACTGTGTGTCTGGCTCAGTTCTTTGTACCGTTCTTGCTGCTAGGACCAGTGTTTGTCCGCTGGTTTTAGTCTTATATCTTGATTTAACTTTGTAAGACATACTGGAGTCTGTGCTTCTAGCTAAGGCTTATGTTCAGATCAAATGTTAAGGCTTTATTTGGTGGCAGTGCTCCTTTAGATAAAAAAAAAAAAAAAACCCATCAAACCAAGAAGTGGTTGGTTTCCTGCAGACCTCTTTCTGGACCGGAAGCTCCTTCTTCACATTTCCTGGAAATAACCTGCTCTGCCTCCGTTGCCTGGGATTCAAAGCTGGTGACTCTCTTTTGAGGTGTGACTCTGTGACTCTGGATTATCTGTGTTTCAGGCTGTCACTGGGGAGCTGAGGCTTGAGTTTCTTGCTCTCCAGACCTTGCAGGATACAAGTGGGCTTTAAAGAGGGGCTGATGATAGAAGTGATGGATGGAGACACTGCTTTGTTTTGTCCTCTCTTATTGACTACCCTTTTTACCAGAGCAAGTAAAATCACCTGAAAGGTTTGTATCATGGTCTTAATAGGTTACTAGTATCCCAAATCCGATCTGACCAACCTTAAGGCACATGTGGATTCATGGGTGTGCGTGCATGCACACACATAACACACACTGCCACTGCTACCATTGCCACCACCACCACTGCCGCCGCCACTGCCACCTTCACTGAATGAACAAATGGCTGTAGTTTGTGCTGGACTTTCATCAAGGGTTGATAGAAGCAAGGTCTTCTTGAGGACATCTTGGCCTCTCTGTCAAGATTTCCACTGCAGACATTTATTCAGCATGTTGTTTAGTTCTCTTTGAATACGCACCTACGATGGACAGTGTTCAATTAAAAATACTTTCAGTGTAAACTCTCTTAAGAAAGAATGTGAGGAAAACGTTTTCTCTTACTGAAGCATCCTGTGTTTCTTTAGCTACTAGAAAGCTTGGAGGGAAACTGTGTGCGGGCATTCTGTGGTCCTCAGTATCCAGTGGTTATGCTTGTCTTCCTCGTTTTTGTTTTCACCTTCTTGGTCTACACGTCTTTGATTAAAGACCACCTTCAGTTCTGGTGTGGAGTGTGCACCACGTGAATAAGTCCTTGACAACCAGTCACCGTCCAGCTGGCTCCAGCGCAGTGACCTCAGGAGTGTCAGCGCAGAACCGCGCTCCGCAGGATTTTCAGGAGAGCAGCAGGCCTGGCTTCTGAGGTGCCTCGGGGGGCCCAAACCTCCAACTTGCAGTTCATGGCTGTGCACTCAGTGTCTGTGCCCCCCAGCAATATGTTGGGATAGTTAACTTCCTCTCTTTTTAAACGCAAAAGTTAGAAACTTTGATCGTAACAGCAAGCTTTACCCAACATAGTAAGTGAGATGGTATGAAATTCATAATCCCACATTACTGTGAGTGAAAGGAGCTGGATTGGCCTGCAGCATCGGGCCAGACAGACAGCTCCAGAATGGGACAGTGAGAATGCTGAGAGGCAGTGTGGAAGCCTCTTGGGATGGAGTGGCCGTTGTGGAAACCATCTCAGTAACACGCTTGGAGTTTCAGGAATCATCTGGGTGAGAAGGGCAGAGGCGGCCCTGAGTGTTCTAATCTGCAGGCTCCCTACTCCTTCAAAGCAGCCAACAGCCATTTTAGTTCTCGTCAGGAGAAATTCAGCAGCGGAAATCTTTCGGGTGGTCTGTTCTTACAGAGATGTCATCATTGCTTTTACACAACATTCTGTGCTACATTACCCATAAATATTTAAAACCTACCCATTCTCTGATGAGATACCATGACCCTCGTTTTCATGCTTTGTTCTATTTCTTATTAATTTATATGAAAATGGAGTTGTCTGTGGCCTGTTTTCCTGATCCCAGGGCAATGGGTCAGATCTCTCCCTGCATCTGCAGAAGGTTATAACCTGATATCATTAGGCTTAACTGCACCTGTGGGCTGCATATACTAGCAGCCCCGACTCAACATTCTCCTGGTGGCCTGGTCTGAATCCATCACTCAGGATTCCTCTCTGGGGGCTCCAGGGGAGGAGAGAGGGCCTGGAGTCAGCCACTTGGCATGTGTGCTACCTCACTCACAAAGAGAAACCCTTAAAAGCCTCTCTTTGCACCCTCTCTTGATAGCCGTCCATTCCGTAACTTCAGAAGTGTTGTCTGCGTGGGAATGACCTGTGATCTGTGCGCAAGGCTGTGGGCAGTAAGTTCGGACACTGGGGTCGCTCCTCTGTGGGGAGGGGAATGCTTTCCTTGACAGCTTTGGGTCCCGTTGGCCATGGCTCCCAGCTCCCAGCCTTGCTTCACTTCCTGCTTCTTTCATGTCCTCTTTCAGGCCATGGAAGCCAAAGGAGCATCCAGCTGAGTTCCTTAAGCTACAGCAGAAGACGTGCATTTTGCCAAAGAGGGTTGTGTTTCTTTGGGTGTTTCTCAGAAGTGATTTCCTGGCCACCTCAAGGGTGGTGAATGGCTGTGGGACTGTGTCTTAGTCTCCTACGGCTGCTATAACTACGTACCACAAAGTGGTGACGTTATAGAACAGAAACATTGTGTCTCACAGTTCTGGAGACCAGGCGTCCAAATCAGACCATCGGCTCTAGAAGAAGGCCCTCCTCTGTTTCATTCAGCTTTTAGTTGTGGTGTTGCCGTGAGTCAGTTCTGAGTCCTGGTGACTCCATGTGTGCAGAGTGAAGACAAAATGCTCCATAGGGTTTTCAAAGGCTGTGTCCTTTCAGAAACAAATTGCCAGGCCTGTCTTCTGAGGTGCCTCTGAGTAGCTTTGAACTGTCAACCTTTCAGCACCATACAGGGACTCTGTGGCTTCTTGTTGCTGGGAAATCTTGACATTCCTGAGCTTGTAACATGTCTGCCTCCATCAAAGACATAGTGTCTTCTCCTCTCTTTCTCTGTGTGTGTGTGTGTGTGTGTGTGTTGATTCTGCTGTTTTTATAGCACACCACGCAGAAGGGCTTAGGTTTGCCACCTACACTTCTTCAGTATAACCTGGTGAACGTGACATATGGCTGCTCCCTGATATTTCGAAGCAAACCTCAGCCACCACAGCAGTGGATGAGACTGCCTTCTGAAAAGTATGGTGTTGATCCCAGAGTGAATGCCACTGTCCCAGAGGGGGCAGCTGCCCAGTGGGGCTGGTCCCATGCTGATGTCTTACATCCACCTTGACTGTCCCTGTTTCTGCTCCCTTGCCGAGGTGAAGGGCCTTCAACTCGTTAGCATGCTGTGTGCGAGAGCCAATGAATGGATTCTAATGGCTTCCAAGTGTTGTTGCGCGATGTGACTTGACTACTTGAGAGCTGGTTAAATAGATTATGTGCTTCACAAAAAGATGACTGTTGCATATAATCTATGGTGTGGAGCGAGCAGATTTCCAAAGCAAGATGCAGAGACGGGGAGGTCAGAGCTTTATAATTGGTGCATTTGTAGCTTGTTCCCATGTGATTAAACTGTTGCCCACATATCTGACAAAAGCTGTGAAATTAAAGCATAAGTCCTATTATAGAAGGAAAGAGTTTCAGTGTAATTAAAATAAACACGGGAACACCAAGGTTTAGGATTTATGCTCATGGAAATGTTTTACATTCGTGCTGTACACATTGGAATGGAATGTATCAACCAGAGCTAGCATCAGCTTTTGAATTAGGCAAAAGCATTGGGCATTCTTGCAGGAAGCCTGGGATGAAGCTAGAGACCCCAGGGAGCACATGGCCTCCTACATGAGCTCCTTTTCCCCTGTGCTTCTTCTGTACCTGATCCTTAGGAAAGCTTGTTCTAATGAGCACGCAATCATTTCTTTGCTGTTCTACATGAAGTCTTTCCATATTTCTATATTGAAAGTGGCCAAGGCAATTGGCAGACATTTTCAGATCTTACCATGTACCTATCATGTGTCCTAAATTTTTTAGGGGGAGGGATGTACGATTTAAAGAGTAAACATTTGAAGATTGGAGGAGTAAAGTCCAGTGGTGAGATGATCCTTTATGCATCTTGGTAGATGACTTCGTTGCCACTATTTACTAGTCCCCCTCTTTGGGATTGAATTGTGTCCCTCAGAGAAGTCCTAGACCCTGTACCCATGGATGAGATCCTATTTGGAAACAGGATTTTCTTTATATTAAGTAGACCATAAGGGTGGGTCCTAAACCTAGTCACTTCTGAAATACAATAAA